TGGGAAAAAAACTAGAATGGAAGAAGTACAAAGTTCGAGCACTCACGTCGAACCTCACGATTAAGTTTTGAGAGTATTAGGCATCAATTAGATGAGAAAAGAAGCCAAATTGATGAAATACAATCAAAGTACTATCACTTACAGTATTCTAAAAAGCGTGTCTAGGGGTCGCCTAGGCGAAAAGTGTGATGAAAATGCTTCGCCTTGAGCCTAAGCAAAAATTAAGCAGTAAACGACAATGTTGACCGCTTAAAGCTCGCCTAGGCGCGCCTCCGCCTCAGGCCCAGATTTTAAGGATGCCCAATTTTTTCCTTTTTTTTTTAAAATTAAAACCCACATCCCAGACTCAGTAGCCCACTATCCCTTCAAATTTCAAAAACTCCAGACTCCAGAGAATTGAGAAGACGGAAGAACGGGAAAAAAAAAAAAACAGAAGAACGGCACAAAACCGAGAATGATGATTTTGTATCGGACGATATAGAGGACAAATTAGATGAAGAATAAGATATTGAATTGAAGTCCGATAAAGAGTTAAATTAAATAAAATTTAAGCTAGAAGTTATCTATGTTATGTAATCATGATTTTGAAACTTATCTTTATGTAGGAATTATTAAGTAAATATAATATTTTATNAAGAGTTAAATTAAATAAAATTTAAGCTAGAAGTTATCTATGTTATGTAATTATGATTTTGAAACTTATCTTTATGTAGGAATTATTAAGTAAATATAATATTTTATAATTTTAGATGTTTGGTACGTATTATTTAAATTATTGATTTTTTTTTACAATGATTAAAAATTTAAAATAAAAAATACTTTTTTACGCTTAAACTTCGCTTAGGCTCGTAAAGCTTGAAACTTGGCCTCCACACCTAGTCACACTTTACGCTTTTTAGAACACTGATCACATATCAACTTCTAACTGAAAAAGTTATGCGTCGAATTTTCAGTCTTAGCTTGAGACTCATTTTTGGCATAGGAAATGTTCGAATTGGAAAACTTGTATTGCAGGACGATTTTTAGCTATTTGAGTTAGCTTTTCAACACATCTTGAATCTTCTCAATCGGATATTGGGAGAGAAATATATGACAAAAATATTGAAAGCTACATGTAGAAGTAGATAAAGCTTTGGGGTCGCATAACTTTAAAACAATACGGTCGCATATGTTATTTCAGGGAGTTTCAAGGCCAAGTTCAAATCAACTATGCGGTCGCATCCACTTCTACTATGCGATCGCATATAGCATTTCCGGCGTGCGAAATTTGGTTTT